TAAATCTATCAACCACCACCATGATGCTACCACTTCCTTTGGGCTTAAGAAGAGCAACTATGAAGTCTATTAAGACACTCTCCCATGGTCTTTCAGCCACTGGCAAGGGTTCGAGTAAGCTAGCTAGATGTTGTTGTTCAACTTTATCTTGTTGACATACTATGCAAGTCCTCACATATGCTTCAACATCATCTTGCATATGTGGCCAGTAAAAATGATTTTGCACAAGAGAAAGCGTTCGTGCCATACCTAGATGGCCAGCCCATTTTGAATCATGACACTCCTTGAGGATGTCTCTTTAAAGGCTACCCTATTTTGGTACATAGACTCGGTTCCCAATGGTGTAGAGTATTCCATTGTTTACCCAAAACCTTTGAGTCTTGCTTTCTATAGCAAGCTTTACTAGGTCACTTGCAATATAATCTTAAGACATACCTTCTTTGATTGGTTCATTCTGGGGCATGCTTGTTGAGAGAATAGCTAACTCAGCTTTTCTACTCAATACATCCACCACCACGTTTGCTTTGCCTAGCTTGTACTCCAACTGGTAATCAAACTCAGCAAGAGATTCTTGCCAATGAGCTTGCTTTGGGCTTAGCTTCTTTTTTGTATCTAGAAGTAGCTCGTAGCGACACGTCTATCATTATGGTGAACTTCCAAGCAAGTAGTGACGCTAGGTTCGAAGACAATGAATGATAGCATACATTTCTTTTTCTTGCACCATGTAGTGCCTCTCTATGTCATTCAGCTTGGGCTCTCGTACACAATAGGGTGTATTTCTTGCATCAACAGACCTCCTATTGCAAAGTTCAAGGCATCATTGTACCTCAAAAGGCTTAGAGTAATCAGCAAGGACATGACAGACTCTTGCGCAACCATCTGCTTTAGCTTTTCAAAAGTATCCTAGCAATTCTGTGACTATTGTCAAGATCTATTAATGTAGCAGCAATGGTTGAATATCCCATGATGAACCAACGATAGTAGTTTACCAAACCAAGAAATGATCTTAGCTCTAAGACATTGGTAGGAGGCTGTCATTCTTGAATAGCTTGAACCTTAGTTGGATCCATCATGAGCTTCCCATCCTTGATCTTATGCCCCAAGAAGTCCACCTCTTGTTTGGCAAAAGAACACTTTTCTAACTTAATGTATAGTTCATGATTAGAGAGTATATGGAAGACTTTCTTCAAGTGTTGAGCATGTTCCTCAAGGGTACTGCTATACATCACGATGTCATCCAAGTACACCACCACAAACTAGTCCAAGTAAGGGTGGAACAGCTTGTTCATGAGCATGCAGAATGTTACTGGGACATTCGCCAGTTCAAAGGGCACGACAAGGAATTTAAATGCTCCATATCTTGTTATGCAGGTTGTCTTCAGCCAATCACCTGCGACAATGCATACTTGATAATACCCAAATCATAGATCAAGCTTAAAGAAATACCTAGCCTTTCCAAGCTGATCGAATAAGTAAGTGATCAAAAGTATTGGGTGCTTGTTCTTGATTGTAATTTTATTCAAGGTCCTGTAGTCGATGCACATTTGTAAAGATCCATCGTTCTTCTTCTGGAAGAGAACTAGAGCACCATACGAGAGCTTAGATGGTTGGATATACCCTAAATTAAGGAGATCTTGAAATTGTCACCTTAATTCGACAAGCTCTAAAGGTGACATGCGATAAGGTACTAAGGCAGATGGTTTGGCACTGGGCTCCAACTCAATATGATGATCTACCTCTCTTCTAAGAGGTAGTTTTTTTAGCAACTCATCAAGCATGATGTGTTTGTACTCCTGAGTACCTCTTGGATACAAGGCGACAAGGCATTTTTTGAGTTGATTGTGCCTTCCTCTTCCTCAGCTAATGAATGTACGGTGGCAACATAGCTTTCTAAATTCTTGAGATCCTTTTGAACTACAAGGCAAAAATTATAAGTTTTGATTTCTTCTAGCGCTTCAATGGAATTACTCGAATCATGTTCATGTCAATGACCACTAAAGATTTAGCTTTAGGAATGAGGAAGGCATGTACTTTACAAAAGAAAGCAAGTTCCAACACAACCATAAAATCACCCATGGGACAATAGTAAAGTCTAACGTACCTTACCAATCACCAATCTTCACCTTTACATCCTTGGCGATCCCAAGAACTTGGTTTGTAGGGAAGTTTACTGCCTTGATGGTGCCTTCTCTCTTGTTGAATTGTACGCCTAAACGTTTGGCTTCTTCGACCTCCATAAAGTTGTGACTTGCTCTGGTGTCAATCAAAGTAGAAGCAGACTTTCCTTCAATAACAAAATTAGTATAAAGTAGACCCTTCTCTTCCTCTTTGGTTGGAGAAAAGAATCTAGTCAAAGCACTCAAGTATTGCAAGGAACCAAGGTCAGCTTCTTGTTCCTCGGCTTGCCTTTCCTTCATCTCAACAACTAAGGCATCTATTACCTTGTGGTTGGAGTAGTCGCAAGTCCAGTGTGGACCATCACATATGAAGCATGGCTTTAGTGGCTTTGAAGGATCTCATTTGGTTGAAGATGGTTTATCCTGTTTAGAACTTTCACCAAAGGTCTTCTGGCCACCACGGTCGGAGTTCTTCTTCTATCCTCCTTTATCTCCCCCACTCTTACCAAGACTAGGCTTCTTGGTCTTGGTAGAGTAGTCAATTAAAGACTCAACAATTGCAATTGGCTCATCCAGAATTTGCACCTTGCATTTGTTTAGTTCTACTCTAGTCCAGTCTTTGAGCCCATTCATGAAGTGGAAAAGAGCCTCCTTGTCGGACAGGTTTTCAATCTCGAGCATGATGATAGTAAACTCTTTGATGTAGTTAGGAATACTATCAATTTGTCTTAACCTACAAAGCTTACCTCTAGCCTCAGTCTCTGCATTGTGAGGAATAAAGTGCTTACAGAGTTCTGACATAAACAATTCCCATGTGTTGAGAATGCAAATGCCCTTCTCTCTCTCTCTCGACATGCATTCAGTGCCATTGGGCTACATCCTAAAGAAAAGTTGAAGCATTGTTGATTTTGATCAAGTCATCTCCTACTCCCATGACCTCGAAGTATTGTTCTAGGCCAAAGATAAAGTTCTCCCCAACTATTGCATTGCAAGTCCCATTATACATTGCTGACTTAGGCACCTTTAGAACCTGAGAAGTGGTGTTTGAAGTACTACCACTAATAGGGCTTCCTGCACAACAATGAGATTCCCATTCGTGGCAAATCTCATCCATTTAGGAGTGTAAACCTTGCAACTCGTCCTTGACATACTTGCATAAGTGAAGGGAATGAAAATCTTTTCTAAAGTCGTGACCAAGTTCTTCAATTATCAACTTGGCAGCACGCATGACCTCGGCATTCTCTTGAATGAGATTGCTGAGTTGATCATCAAGTTTCCCCATAGTAATCCTCACATTATATATATAAGTTTCCAAGCTAGCAACTTAAGGTTCAAGAGACTCACCTGCTGGAAGCTTGCTCTTGCCTCACTTGGATATGGTTTGAGCTTGCTCTTCTTGTACACGAGCATGCTCTTGCACTTGCCCGCCGACAATGTTTCCTTCCTCAAGTGCCATTGTGCAATACCTTCCTCTAAGCACAACGGTTGAACCATGCTCTGATATCAACTGTTATGGGGCTAGTCTTTCAATCCATGCAGCACTTAGACACTTGTCACTAGAAGATGGTAAGTAAGCCTAATTTGTTGAGAAGGAGGATGCTTGGCTAAGTTGAGGAAAAAGGAAAGCTTGAGAAGCAAAAGATAGTTGAGAGAGTTTGGGAAATGTGGGACTTGTATTACTTGAGAACTCAAGGATGCTTACAAATGAGGAGGAGTGAGGTATTTATAGGCCTTGAATTTAGAAAATTCTCACCTCCTCAATGGATGATGAAGATTAAATTGATCCTATGACTATCATAAATTCTCTAGAATTCTCAGCGAGATATTTACAAAATATATCTAGATTTTTACATGAAAATATCCAGAGTCTATATTAAAATATTCATGCTAAAGTTGTGTGGATTTCTCTAAGATCTCCTTACACACTCTAGCCTTCTTAAGGGACTTTTGGAGGATTCTAGAACATTCCAAACAAGCTTAACCTCATGAAAAATTACGGATCATAACACCAAGCTTCCATAAAGAATAATTTCATAACAATCAAAATAATATGGAGATCTGAGCTTATCAAAATGAGAATCAAAGAAGGCATACATTTGTATTATCTTATTTGCCAAATGAAGGACGTAAGAACCATTTAGGTTCTGATCTGTAAATTTATTGGTGTAGAAAGTGTCCAAATGATAGCCACAGCATTTGATTTATTTTATCGAGAAGGAAAAATTACAAGAAGGTGAGAGTATTAAAAGCGTTCAAGCTTACTAGTGATAATTAATGAAAAATATCGCATAAAAATGAAGTTAATCCATTACAAATCCACGAGAAAGCTTATGTGAGAAAAGGAGGACTTGAGGCTGAAAAAAACAAACACACCGAAGCAAAATCAACCGAAAAAAAAAAAAAAGTGTGTGTGTGAGAGTACGATAACGTTTAAGCAGCAAAATATTGTAGAAACAATATAAATAAATGAACAATCAATTGGGACTGGGACTGAAACTGAGACTGGTACTATTTTACAAACAGTAATCTTCAAAAGGAAAAATATATACGTTGTACAACATGATATGTTATAACATTAACCACTGTATTTTACCAATTTTTGTTTTGTCCTTGATGACACAGACACAGAACATTCAATGATAGAGCATTAAAAAAAAAATCATTTTTGTTATTAAGATCTTATTTATTACCTTTTCAATTTCGAGGTCTTTTTCCCTTAGTAATGCTGCAGAATCAGGTGTAAAGCAGACTGAATGTGACTTTTTCAATTCACTTTCTAGTCTAGCTACTTCTCTTTGCAATTGCTTAACCAATGCTTTGTCGGACATCAGTACATTGACCTGAGCATTAGTGGTGACTTCTTTGGCGCAACTTGCAAATAAGAGGGTGTTTCTGGTTTGTTCAAGAGGGCTTCGTGCAGGGCTGATAGTGCAGATTATTGCAGTTCTTGCATTGCCTCCTAAAGAGGACTGCAGTATGCGGGCAAGCTTTGAATCCCTGTAAGGAATGTGTCCATTTCTTCCTAAAACCAAATTCATTTCATTCAGATAAAGCGAAACAAAACAATTAGAAAAGTAGATACAAGAATTCCAATATATCAAATGTCAATAATATTAATTGACTCAGGGAATTTTGGAAACAAAAAACGAAGCATTCATATGCTCACGAAGTCACAAATTACTGCACTATTTAGCAATGGATGCATAAACATGTGGTTGCATTCTGAAGTATTTATGTAGTTTGGAGCTAAAATAAAAAGAATATTTTTACTGTAGTAAAATTATCAAGTCTTACTTGACGGTTGAGTTGAAGTAGATTTCTGACATTATATTGAAGTCTCTATGATCAAAAGATGTGGAGTTTGATTCTTGCCCCTTCCATTCTTTCTAATTAGATAAAATTTCAACACAAGATACATGGACCTCTGCTTTGTCCACACTTTAAGCCCGACTTTCATGTGAGGGATTCGATAGAAGATTATGAACTAGTCATGGTCTAAAGCTTGAGTTGAAATGCCCTTTGACAATAACCAACCTCATGTATCTGGTATAAGTTCTCAATCTTTTTAACAAGGATTGGGACCTATTTGTCTCAGAGAGAGAGAAAAATACTGAGTTGAAGGTCAAAATAAACCCAGTGAAGTGTTTTTGATGCAAAACATATTGCCAATTATATGCATAAACGAGTAATGACATGAACGACAGTAGAGGTAAAGAAAGATTAATTCAACTTATGTATCTTTTTGGAATGCTGGCATTAGACAGATCAGTAAGCCTTATTTAACAGACCATATAGGACAAGCTAACCTGAGTTTGCGGACAACAGTTCCTAGAGTTAATAGACTTCGATTAATGTGGCAACCCTCCTTTAACCTTGTGCCAGCTGATAATGTCTAGGATGCACGTTCACTCCCCCAAGATCAATAAAATTCTGTATCAAGAAAATGAATTATTATTTTGATTTCCTATTTACGTTGTTTCACATAATAATTTGATTGTTGTTCATTTTCTTTCAATCTGAGAGAACACGTCGTACCACAGAAGCAGCAAGAGAGCTTGATTTGTCATTTCCTAGACAGAACTTTCAATTGTCTAAAGAGTCACATTATTTAGGAGAATGTCAGTGAATAAGCAATATAAAATTGCAAAATATTCTGACTTCTGTACTATTCAACAAGATAAACTTACTGAGTATCTGGTGAGATCTAGAGCTTGCTTCATTCAAGGATGTCTCCCCTGCCTGCCTTTGAGCTACAAAAATACAACCACACAAAGGTTAGCTGTAGTGAGATAAAAACTTTAATAGAAGAAGAAAAAAGAAAGAACAAAGAAAGAACAAAGAAAGAAACAGATTTAGAAAACTACTGAAAGTAACTGAGTTGAAGCAGAATCTTTCATACTAATCCTTACTTCTACAGAAAGAAAGAAGTTCTATAAAATGGTTCCAGTCCCTCAAAGTTTCCTCGGTAAGCTTCTCCACTACTGTTCCTCTCTGGTGAATGACCAATTGTTAATATAATGTGCATATATATAGTAACTCTGGGAATACATTTAAACATTTTTACCTCTGGATCATCAAGAAGTCTGAGTGGAGTGCTGTCTAAACTAAGGAGGTCCCTCACACATTCATTATAGATCTCAATTGCTGACAGCTTCATAACAAATTTTCTTTCCTCGTGCTGTAAGGAATTAATATCTGATCAGGATTTGGTTTGAGATAGGCAAGGAATTGACTTGATATTATCATATTTCATTTACCTGTTTTATGTAGCCATAAATGTCTGCCACAGTGCACTCGGTGACACCACTTATAGTGAATGTCTTACCGCTGCTTGTTTGTCCATATGCAAAGACGCTTGCTGATCAAATAGAATATCAAACCTATGGGCGTCTTAAAAGGGGAGGCTGTGGGTTCTAAGCCTAAACCCAAGTGGTGTAGGGGTGGGCCTGTCACCCTTCCCTATGGGAAAGGGTTAAGTCATAGGGTTGTGTGTGTGTAATTGATCCATTGCCCAAAAAAAAAAAAAAAGAATATCAAACACCCAGGCAGGGAGGATGAAGATGCTCATGAAGAGGAAATGAAAAAGCGAGGAAATAAACTCACAGTTGATGCCACTAACAACAGAAAGAGCAACTTTCTTTGCCCCTTCTTCGTACACCTGACTTGTGGGTCAGTCGGGTCTGAATACCCTGTCTACAGCCAAAAGAAAACAAGATCAAACAAGGTAAATACCTTTTTATTTCATTCATGATTTTGATAGAATAAAAACCAATCATTTTTTCATATACAAGAAATAATAGACCACCATCAATTTCATCTATGATTTTGTTTGACCAAAATTTTTCATCTATGATTAATTGTATAACATATTACAGCACAAAATTGCAGTATCTTGTGTACCAGCATTACAGGGTATGCTTAACGTCAAATGTTATAATCTCTGGACTTACTCCTCAAGCTAATTGAATCATATCTCAAAGTTTTGGACGTTTCATGTGCCTTCGTACCGAATGTATATACCGTTGGGTAGGGACTAGTCGGAAACCGAAAGCTTGTTCCTGCATATGAGAGTAGTATCATTGATGCATCCCCAATCCGACACATCATTTCTCACTCGTTTCTTGCTATTCAGGGGCCGTAGACGAATAGAAACAAGAATTCTCTCCTGACTGTCAGTCAAGCCATGCATTGCCTCCTCTCTACCAATAGAACCTATTTTTCACCTTCTTTTCTTCTTTTTAAAGTCGAATTCCCGGCTGAAAACTGGACCACATGTCACATATTTAGAATATTCTAAAAGTTATTGGCCTTCAGCTGGTAAAATTTTTCCCGAAAAGAGAGAAAGCCAAAGAAAAGCCTCCTTCTCGGCGATCTCTGTATCTCAACGCGAGTTTTTTACATGGATGCGTTGTGGATATATGTATGAGTGTTTCTGTGACTCTACGATTTGAGGTTATGGGGAGGCGAGGCTATGGCGTCACCTTCTCAATTTGCCTTTCGCTCATATATATATATATGTATGTATGTATGTATATGTATTTTTATAACATAACATTTTTACTTTTTTCGATAACAATATACATATTTTTAGCCTTTAAAACTAAAACCAACCACGGTAGAGCAAGGCGCTAATATTTATGAGCGAAACGCAAAGTTACCGTCCCATCCATGCTTCACGTATCAATATATCGAAATGTATATACAGTGAATAATGTTCTCTCTCGCTCTCTCTCTATATATTACTATTGATTGATTATTGATATATTAATTACACATCTATTTATAAAATATCCCTCCCCTATTAACTTGATTATCGTGAACTTAGCGTTCATAATTAGATGCCTAATTCTTTGACCCAAAAAAAAAAAAATTAGATGCCTAATTCATTTGGTTGCTTTTATTGGATTTATGTGAGCATATGACAAGATTATATATTTAAAAAATTTGGGAAATTGTTGAAAAATCCCTATGGAAAATTTAGTTGCCACAAGCACTTGAAATTTGTACAAGGACTCATGTCCTTGAGGGGAATAAAACCTGATTGCAAAATGACCAACTTGTCTTTTAGTTTGATGCAACTTTCTGCACAAACAAGCAACCTTCTATCATCCGCAAGTTTTTTCCGTCCGTGCCAATTTTCTTTTGTCATACGCAACTTCCATCCATGAGATGTAAAACTCTCCCATGAATTGCAAATTTCTCCAAGGATGCAAGAGTTCTTTTGCAAAATGCAAAAAATCTCTATCAGGTGCAAGTTATTGTCGGGTGCAAGACAGCTTGATGCAAATTTTCAACAGGAAAATGCAACATTCTTACATCATATGCAAGTGTCTTTTGTTCATGAAAATTTTCTTCCATCGTTCGCAACTTCCTTTCATGAGATGTAAATTTCAATAAAATGCTTGCAACCAACGCCCTTGTAATATAGTGGCATGGAAGCTTTCTTAAAGTCGGTCATGGCACGTGATTTCGACTCTACTCATGATCTCAAGCTGTTAGCTTGCCCTTGTAATTCAAATTAATAATTAAAGAAAACAAAACTGCTTGCAGAGTAAGTCGAGTTAACAAGATTACACAAGATGCCATACGCCTTTTTCTTTCTCTGTTACGACAAGATGTAACCTCTTTACAAGAAAAAGTGTTCGAGCAATCACACTAATTTCTTTCACAGCTGGGAGAAAATACTGGATGGGAAAGAACGTTGTTATAAAGAGGATAAGGCGAATCCAAGTCAAGCTGGTCTAAGATATTCTGCGCAGCCCACAAATAAGAAGAGTGGCCTTCAATGTGATCTGTCACGTCAACCTGCAAACCCAATTATCATCCATTTTATCAGAGATCCAAGTCCGATGAGTGATAACAATGCGTCAAGATCTCAGGATATAGTAACTTTCAAGTTCTAATAATAGTGTACTAGTTAATAGAAGGTGGATGAACATCTTACGTTTTGGATCCCTGGAATATTGATGGGCTGGATTCCAGCTAATCCTTTAGTAAGTAGACTGCTCAAAAATGAAAGGGTTAAAGTCTACTTTCTGCCTAACAAATCAATCGCTGTAAATTTTCTGGAGTCATCTAAAACTACAACCACATCCCATTCCCATCCCAAAAAGAAAACTTAGTAGAAACAATACAGATTAAAAAAGAAAAATCAGTTCACAAACACGCACACCCTGTAATGACCCTCAATTTTAAATTAAACAAAATTTTTTCTCCTAATAAATATTTTCTTTAAATAAGTTTAATAGCAAGTAGAAAGGAATAGTTTATAAGAATTTATGCTAGAAATTTCCTCAAGGACTTAGGGGCCAAAGTTATTTGAACAAAAGCTTGATTTTAAAATTATAAGAGAATGTAGTGTCCTTTCTTGTAATTTTATTGTGCTTTTTCTTGTGATTTTCTCATGTTCTTTCTTGTGATTTTTCCAAAAGTTCTTTTCTTCAGTTTTATATCTCACGTGCGTGGAAGCAAGAATAGAGCATCCTAGAATCTTCTCTTCACCGACTTAGATTTCGTTTCTTTCATCATTTTTGAAACCTTCCTCCTCACCTTTGAACTTATTCTTCTTCTCACCGGTGACGTGCATCTTGCTTCACTGGTTCATTTCTTCTGTTGAGCGTGTGGAGCAATCAAAATCCTTCATTCATCCCTGTTTTTTTGCTGCTTCTTCGTTCAGGTTCGACAGTTCTATGTGCGCGTGTTTAGCTTCAATTTTTCTTCCTCCTCAGCTGTTGGAGGCTCATGTGTGCGTGAATAATAAGCTCAAGTTTTTTTTTTTTCAATCTGCAATTTTGTTGCTCACCGTTGAAGAGGTCGGAGTCACAAGTTCGTCGTTCCCCTATTCTTTGTTTCACCATCGATTACTTCTTCTCCCTTCCTCATTGACATCATTTAGGTGCTGGTGAGTGAAGCTTGTCCTTCGTCCTCCTCCTTCATGCAACAGCGTCTTTTTCCTCCTCCTCCATCGAGTTCTATCGGACTCCCTCTCCCCTGTACAGCTCCTGCAAATCTTCTCCCTTCTTGTTGTGCTATCTATGATTAAGGTAAGAAGCATTGAGATCTTCTTCCTGATAATCTTGTGTGCGTGAGTGTGTGAATTATTAGTTGAAGTTTTTTTTCCTCTTGTGATACTGCTGTCCGTGCGATGAAAAAAGGAAGAAATTTAAATTGAATTGGAAATAATTTTCTGCACTTGTGAATGTGGACTGTTGTTGCTGTGCGTTAGAGTGTGGTTTGCTCTGTGTGTCCGTGAAACTACTGAATTTTAGTGTGTTTTCTGTTGCTGCCATGCTGTTATAGGGAAGAGACAATTCAAATATTGAGCTGCCAATTTATCTTAAAGATTGAGAATGATATACTCATGGGTCATAATTTTTCAGTTGAACTAATTGTTTAGATTGGGTGATGTTGAAAAATTTGTTAGGATGAAGTTGGAAAAGAATAGCTTAAATATAAAACTTAAATATTGGTACTTATAAGATATTTGTTGAAATGTTTGCTAGAGAATATTGCAAAGGTGATAATAATAATAATAATAATAATAATGTAATTATTTGAATCCTTGAAATTGAATAGTTTGTTGATGAAATATATGTCTTTACATACAAGTTGTAAAGTTGACTTACTTGTTGGATTTGTATAGCACCAAAAAGGAAAATTGTTAGGTTATGTGATGATTGAGGTTCTTATTAAACATGGAATAAGAAGAGTGTTAATGGTTGGGGTTGAATGTTGTTGGTTTAAATGCTAGATTAATTTGGAGTATCACTGGAGAAAGCGAGAAATTGAGGGAGTCTAATTATAAGATTATTGAGAAATTTTCAGGTAAGTGAATAGCGTCCCAACTGATATTTCATTAAAATCTTTTATTCAAATATTACATTTTTATGCAAATTCTTTTTACAACAATGTGATTATGAGATATTTTGTTGATTAAATTACTTTATTTCGTGAAATTAGTTTACCAGAATTGATCATTTTGGTTAATCAGTAAATACAAGTTTGAATTCTAATTGTGGGATTTTATTTTGAAAATTATTGAATTATTACGAAAAAATGATTCATGCGAGTTCGACATTGAAAAGAAAAATTTGATTGAATAATGATCAATTTCTCGCATGTTTGAAATTGAATTTGAAAGGGACTTTATATGGAACACTGGTTGCTAACGGCAGTTCCGTTAGCCCTTGGCGCGCCATGGTACACCTAGCTAGCAAGGTGATTATAGAAAGTGCTAGCCCCATGCGATGGCCAACGCACATGGAACAGAGAGATGGTTATTCATGAGCATCATACTCACGTTTTTTTCGTGGCTTCAAGCCGCGTTTGATTAGCATTACCCTCGTGGACTGTGTGTCTAAGTTTGTTTCGTAGCTTCAGTTGCGTTTGGTTACTTACCCTCATGAACTGAGTGTCCACTTTTGTTTTTATGGCATAAATCGCGTTTGGTTAGTTACCCTCATAGATTGTGTATCCATATTTGTTAATTATTCTGATAAGTCCCTATAATTATGAATCCAATCGTTTGATGATTTCATATTCTATTAGTTTTTATTTAATAATTTATTTAAAATATTGATTTCATTTATGTGCTTTCTTGAAATCAAGTGATATTATCATTTTTTATGATAATTCAATGATTTAAGATTTTATTCGAAATTTATAGAGCCATTTTATTATGAAGTTTATAAAATTTTTACGAAAATTTTATCTATTTAACTTACATAACTATTTCAAACTTCACACTTTATTTATGTTCTATTATTTATTGTTGGGACGTTATTCACTGGAAAATATATTTTAGTCTCAGATGGTATAGTTGAACTCGTGACTCAAGACATCCACTGAGTAGTTTTATTGCTGAATTGAAGCAGAAGAATTATTTTAGTCAAATCCTAATTTGATGAAAATTTGAACTTTATACCTACGTTGGCGTCTGGCTTTAGATGCTCCACGTAGACTACAGATAGGATCCTCACGTTTCTTTTAAAATTGAATATCTAATTTAATATTGTAACAATTTTTAATTCCTCTATTAGTATGTTTAGCGTATTAATTTCAAAGTTCCTACGATCACGGCTTAAGGGATGTGAGGTTTGTGCCCATACCCATGTCGGTCACACCTGATTTTTGGGGTGTAACACACCCATTGTTCTCACGCTTAAGTTGGAATACCTTGGTCAAAATCTGTGGAGAAACCACAAGCAAAATTAGGCATGGCAACTGTTCTCACTCTCACACACTCACACACCCCCGCACACATATTGTTCTCATTATTAGACCAAGTGTTTTAATGATAATGTGCACACGCGCACATATTGTTCTCATTATTAGACTAAGTGTTTTAATGATAACAAAATCAAGAGAAAGATATTTGTAGAGCCAGGAATAAGGGCCGGACCTGAAAGACTGGGCTTGGAAGCCCTGTTTAAATAAGAGTTCAAACTTTGAAAATGATTTTTTTTTTTAAGTAACCGAGTTTGAGGGCTTGGCCCTAATGAGCCCTGTAAAAAAAAAGCTCAGGCCCCAACGGCCCTTCAAGCCCTGTTTTATTATTATTATTATTATTTTTTCTTTGGTGGAACACATATTTGAAGCCAATGACCTGCTCATCTGATCCTACACACATTATATTATTATTGATTTTAATTTATTCTAAAATTAATTTAATATAATTTAATAAATATCAGTGTATAGTATAAAATTTATGATATTTTTTATTTTTCTATAATTATTATGTTTGTGTATTTATAAAAAAAATGAATTGTTTTTTAACCAAAATTTAAATTTTATTACTAGACTTCTAAATCTGTGTTGTTTAATTTCAAAAAAATTATGAGGATTTTAATTTTTTTTAATTTCAAACTATTTTAATTAATTTATAATGTTTAATTTTATTTTAATTTTTTTATTTTTTTGAAAAAGGGCTTGCATGCCTAACACTGAACCCTTCACATAAAGGTTGAGCTTGAGAAATGAGGTTCAAAATGAGGAATCGAGCTTTAAAGCTCAAGCCCTTAAGGGCCGAACCCACTCGTATTCCTAGCTCTAGGTATTTGTTACTTGTGCAAATTGAATATCATGAATCAAGTAACAAAATATCAAAAAATGGAAGCAAGGGTGAAGAAACAAATACTAGAATCAACATGAGCATGAGACACTTAAGAAAATGATGAATCAAGAGAAGAAAGAAAAGCATTTAATAGATTATATTTGTTTTATTCCTCTCTACGATAAATTTGTGAAAACCAATTTAAAAGCTAAATACATGTTTGAAAATGATAAGGTTTGCATCATATAAAAAGTCATAGGCTCATAAGTCCTTAAGGTTAAATGGTCTTATCCATGCAAGGACAAGAAATGTCCAAGCATGTTTGACAAATGGTTGCATGTACTTATGATTCATATTACTTCATTCATGCTTGGACTATAAGCGTGCCATGTATGTTTGATCATCTTTTATGCACATAGGACTTAAAGGATCTCATTCAAACTTAAACCATAACTAAACCTTGTTTGAATTAGATATAGGACTGTATGTTGGTTCACGCTAGGACATTTTTGTATCCATGCTTGATTGGCAAGTCAATGTGGAGAAATATCTTAGTTGAGTTTCTGTAGTCTGATTCACACTTGGATGTTATTTTTACCTACGCTTGACTGATCCTAAGTGTCAACTTAAAGTGTTCCTAAGAAGCAATCCACACTTGAATTCATTTAAGTCCAAACTTAAATAGATGAAACACTCGTTAACTTTCAAGTCTGACTTGGAGAGAGTCTTAACACTAAACATGCTATCAAAAGTTACCCAAACGTTTCACATCACAAATAGGCAAGGTGCCTTTGTACACTCATTCACACTTGGCACAAAAATTACCCACATGTGTTTAGGCTTATAGAAAAGGTTGGTACTTAAACCTCATCATACACGCTTGAACTCTGATTGGTCCACACTTGGATAGATGTGAAGTGATAAGTGAGCTAAGTGCAGATAACTCATCCACGCTTGGATCATTCTTGTCCACGTGTGAATGACAATTAAAACAGCATTTAATGCAATTAGCAAGAAAAGTGTTTTATCCGTCTTAGATCACTTTCGCAAGTGCATAACAACTATATTTTATACCTTATGGGTTCCAACGGTCCTAAACCATGAAAATCTATAAGTAGGACCTCATTTGAGTTGGTGGATAATGCTCATACAAATTGAACACATACAATTTATATCAAACTTTAATTTTTCACTATGTTCATATAAAAAGTTGTCAAACTAATTCTTAGGCTTATATTGTTATATCCATTTTTTGAAAGAGTTTTTGAGTATGTCTAATATTTTCCTAGTTATCTCTTTAAGAAAGAACTTGGTAGGAAAACACAATCTTTGTTAATAGAGATACTCAAGGAAGGATTTCCTTAGTGTATTAAGAAAATGCTCACTATCTTAAAGTATGGAATTAAGGAGACTTACTAATGTAGCAAGTGATCTTGTAAACGGCTCACAAATGCTAGTGAAAGCTTGTGGGATGTATTAAGGTAGCAAGCACTCATTGAAACTTGTGTCATAATGGAAAATCTCAAGTATGAGTTTGGGGACTAGATGTAAGCCAAGCAGCTAGCTAAATCAGGATAAATCAATTGTATAGTATTTCTATCTCCACTCTAACTCCGCCTATATTTATAGCCGGTCCCAAGCCCGGGTAAAGGAGGAGGGTTGTGTTAGACCATCAACAGTCAATGTAAAAATTTTTTGAATCTATCATGAACATGGACAATAGAAGTTATAATGTTAATGCTAGGTCATTGCCCGTAAGTAACGCGCTGCATGGCTCGAGTACAGTGATAAGTGAGTTAGAGTCACTGCATCGGCGCCCGGATGTAGTGTTAAATGAGCAAAGGCTACCGCGTCATTCTGGACGCACGCGGCTAAAGAAGTTAGTCCATAAGAGCAAAATTAGATTTGGTACTTAGAATGTTGGGACATTAAATTGTAAATCTGTAGAGGTTGTAGGGGTTATGATTCAAAGGAAAATCAATATCCTTTGCTTGCAAGAAACAAAATGGCGTGGAGAAGAAGCTAAGGATATTCAAGGTTTCAAATTTTGGTATACAGGAAAAGTAAGTACACGCAATGGAGTAGGCATCATTATAGATAAGGAGTGGAAGAAGAACGTTGTAGAAGTTAGCAGAATTGGGGATAGAATTATTTCTTTAAAAATGATAATTGGACGTAAGACTGTTAATATTGTTAGCGCTTATGCGCCGCAAGTCGGGACAGAAGCCAGTCTTAAGGAATTATTTTGGGAGGATCTGGAGGGGTTGATTCGACACATACCACAGAGTGAAAAGATTTTTATTGGAGGAGACTTTAATGGGCATGTCGGGAGAGAAGCTGGTCAGTATGCAAGGGTGCATGGTGGTTTTGGTTTTGGAGAGCTAAACAATGAAGGACAAACTCTTCTTGATTTCTCATTGGCGTATGATTTTAAGATTGCCAACACTTGTTTCAAGAAGAGAGATGAGCATCTCATCACTTACAAAAGTGGAGCCTCAAGGTCACAGATTGATTTTCTTTTAGTTAGGAACACAGATAGAAAACTTTGTAAAAATTGTAAGGTGATCCCCGGAGATGCTGTAACGACACAACATAGGATCCTAGTCCTTGATGTGTGTATTATGAGTAAAATCCAAAAACGTCGACAAGTAATAACACCAAGGATTAGGTGGTGGCAATTGAAAGGTGAGAAGCAAGATATTTTCAAGCGAAATCTTTTGGATAAAGGAATTTGGGATTCTCAGGGAAGTGCTAACATCATATGGGAGGATATGGCGAAAAAGATACGGGAGGTTGCAAAAGTAGTTTTGGGAGAATCGAAAGGTTCTGGTCCGAGAGATAAGGAGTCTTGGTGGTGGAATAATAGTGTACAGGATAAAATCAAATATAAGAAGAACTATTTTAAAGCCATATATTTGTGTAACAATGAGGAAAATTGGGAGAGGTACCGTATGGCTAAGAAGGAAACTAAGAGAGCTGTGGGTGAAGCTCGTTTTAAAGCTTTTGAAGAATTTTATAAGAACCTTAACACGAAGGAAGGAGAGCAAAATATTTATAAGATTGCCAAGAGTAGGGAAAGAAAATCAAGAGATCTAGAACAGGTAAGGTGTATTAAAGATGAAGAGGGAAGAATTTTAGTTACAGATGATGAAATTAAAAATAGATGGGAGACTTATTTTTCTAAACTTTTCAATGATGGAGAGGATTCATCTAGTAATTTGGAGGATTTAATAACTGGTAAAGGAGAACAAAATTTGTCATTCTATCGAATAATACGTGATAAGGAGGTAAAGGAAGCTCTTAAGAAAATGGCAAATGGTAGAACCAACGGACCTGATTGTATATCTATCGAAGCGTGAAAATGTTTAGGTAAAGAAGGGGTGAGATAGTTAACTAAGTTATTTAATGTGATTTTACAGTCCAAAAAAATGCCTGATGAGTGGAGGAGAAGTACATTAATTCCTATTTATAAAAATAAAGGAGATATTCAGAATTGTACTAACTATAGACGGATTAAACTCATGAGCCACACAATGAAATTGTGGGAGAAAGTAATTGAGCACAGGTTGAGATTGGAGACAAGTATTTCTGAGAATCAATTTGGTTTTATGCCAGGTAGATCAACTACAAAGGCGATTTATCTACTAAGGGGATTAATGGAAAAGTATCGTTGTAAAGATAAAGATCTACACATGGTTTTTATTGATTTGGAAAAAGCTTATGACCGTATACCAAGAGAAGTGCTTTGGAAAGCGTTGGAAAAAAAGGGAGTACGGATTGCTTATATTAAAACCATACAAGATATGTATGAGGGGGTAAAAACTAGTATAAGAACGCCTAGTGGTCAAACAAAGAATTTTCCTATAAAGATTGGACTACATCAGGGATCATCTCTGAGTCCTTATTTGTTCAACTTGATTTTAAATGTTTTGACGGAACATATTCAAGAGGAAATCCCGAAATGTATGCTCTTCGCGGATGATATAGTTCTTATAACAGAGACAAGAGAAGAGGTTAATTGCAAACTTGAGTTATGGAGGAGGACATTGGAGTCGAAAGGTTTTCGTCTGAGTAGAAGTAAGACGGAATATTTATATTGTAAATTTGGTAAAGGACTATTCGAAAATAATTTGGAAGTGAAATTGGGAGATCAATTATACCTTAAGTGGAAAAGTTTAGATATTTGGGAGCCATTATTCAAAATGATGGCGAAATCAGTGAAATATTTCACATAGAATTCAAGCTAGGTGGTTTAATTGGAGAAAAGCTAAAGAAGTTATTTGTGACCGTAAGGTGCCTAATAAACTTAAAGGAAAGTTTTATCGCACTGCTATCAGACCGGCAATGTTATATAGTAGTGAATGCTGGGCTCTAACGGGACAGCAAGAACATAAAGTTGGAGTAGCAGAGATGAGAATGTTACGATGGATGTGCGGACATACACGTAAAGATAAAATTCGAAATGAGCACATACGTGAAAAAGTGAGGGTGGAACCTATTGAGGAAAAAATGGTAGAAAATCGGTTGAGATGGTTTGGACATGTACAAAGAAAACCAAGGGAGACACTAGTGAGAAGAGTGGAACATATAACTGAATCCGATTAAGAGAGGTAGAGGAAGGCCTAAGAGAACACTCTTGGAAGTTGTTGAACGCGATCTCTTAATTAATAATATTCTTAAAAGCTTGATAAATGATAGAGCACAATGGCGTCTTGCAATCCATGTAGCCGACCCCACCTAGTGGGATAAAGGTTTGTTGTTGTTTGTTTGTTTGTTTTCTATCTCCACTCTCTTTAAACTCAGCTCATCATACTTTGCATACTATCTTGATTCTAACATTAAAAAATTTATATTTCACAAGTGTTTTAAAATCAGCAACTGAAGTATTTAAGTTTCACTTTGATTTATTGCATTGAAACTTCAAGTTGCATCTTGAACTAAGCTTGAAGTTTTTAAAAGTTGAAAAAAAAATTCCTAAACACCCAATTCACACCCCCCTTTGGTGTTATTGCCTAATCTTACACTTGTGCTTTTCTCAAGTTGGAATACAATACTGGCTATAAAGAAGCATTCCAAAATAAAAATTGTCTAAATTCCATTATCTTTCTTTTATTTTGAGGTTAACTTTTAAAATTACAAGTGATCAATAAGTTGAATAGTGCGGATCAACTGGAAATATCCACAACTCTGCAGAAGTTCTATCAATGAACATTTTCAAGTACCTGGCACGGAAAGCAACTCCAAGCATCCAATCATTTCTAGTATAAGCATTTATGAACCTTCCTGCTACCATCTGTAGAAGATCACAGAATCTCAAAATCTTTAAAAGCTTGCGATGAAATCTCTAACAATCTGATCGTATTTAAGAAATAAAACACCAATCATCCTTCGAAACAGTATAGAATGGAAGAATAAATCACAGCCTAAGATATCACATCAGAAAGCAAAAGGAAAAAAGATGCAGAAAGAGAGAGGAAGAAAAAAAAACACTGACTGGCTTATAAGAGGCCAGCGTCTCTTCCCTCATTGAATACCTTTCTTCTTCTTAACATGACTCACCCATAAATATACCCCTGTAACGGCTTATACACTCTCTCATCCATCACAAATTACAGGTGACCCAAGGTGCCCAATCAGTTATGGTTTTCCCTTTCCTTTGGACATTCTAGACACCTCATCCATTGTTAAAGGCTCCTTTATTACTCTTTTTCGTTTTTTAAAACACTCACCATTTTAAGTCCATCAGCCCCAGGACCATCCAGATGGATTGGCTCATTGGTATAAAAGTAAAGCAGACAATAAGGTGCTATAAAAAGAAGAATGAAATCACCTTTCTGGCAGCTTCCCAGTTCTCGTCCTTGATTGAGATGGGTGCTCCAAGAAGAACAACTCTTTCTACCAGTTCAGCTGCCAATAGACAGAACAAGCACCTTAAATCAACTAAAGGTAACAATTGCTCAAGTCATCAAGGACATGAAACCATGGTAGACATTTTCAGAGTTAAAATGATAAGAAAACAGAATGGAGTAAGCAAGTAGTGCCACTAACCACTGTTTTCAGTTTCAGCCAAAATCTGAAGACACTTGAAAATAACTCGTGCCCCAAGTGAGTACCCTATGAGTGTCACAGGCCTGAAACTCAGGTTAACAATAATGCTTGCTCCAAAATTATTAAAAAGCAGAATTAACGAGGAAAAACTTGAAATTAAACAAGTACCTATTCCCCTGCAATCCTTTTAACAATACTTCAGCAAGTAGCTTTCCTGCTTTGTCTGATCTGAGAAGCAAATTTAGATAAGCAAGGATTTGCCTATGAACTAAGGATGAAAATTTCTCATGTCAAAATTTTTCTTTGAAGACAATGAATCCATCACATCCTGCACAGCCTTTCATATAAAAGATAAACGGGTACATGCTTGGAAAGCCAAACTGCCTTGAAATTTCCGAGCCATTCTCATCCAAAGCGTAGTTTTTGCTCACTTGAAACATGACCCTTTTCATTTAGAAAAACAAATTTCATAAGAAGGGAAAGAGAAAATGCACTTGGGTAATGGAGGAGGGCAATATACCCTCCAAAACAGATAAAGTAATAGGAAATAAGAAAAACAAAAAGGTGCGCAATCTCTTTGGAATAAAGCTGCTCAATTGCACTTTCTTGAAACAAAAAACTGCTCAATCTCTTTGCAAAGCATAATTTGGAAATCCCTTGAAAATTGAAACATAAGCAGTGCATCAGGAATAAGCCATCAACGTGATCCTATCCTATTCATATTTGGGGCAAAAGGCATACTCAAAGGTGGATGTATTTACTATAACCTAATAATCTTTGAGGACAGGATGAATTGAACAGCATATTGTCACAAAATCCTGTCCCCTTTGCTTTAACTAAAACCTTAAAATGCATCATGAGAAAATGTCCTAAAGTGGAAAGATACACCCAATTCACCCAGAACGCAAATTAAAAATTCCAAAAGAAAGTAGCCACCCAATATAAGAGCCATTGACCTGTTGTTTCTGAATTAGATCTACACACAATCCACATATGGAGAATAAAAAATGAATCCCAAGCCATATGCATGGAATAGCATTGTGTAACACATTTAAGAAAGAAAAACCTTCAATTACCTTATTTTACTTTGATGATGATGATGCCCTTTAATTTAATAATTGGGCTTACCTTATTTTACTTTAGTCAAATGCAATGGTCAACTTCCACAATTCATTTTCTACATATTCAAAAAATATCAAAATATTTGTTGAACAAATGAATTTCACCCCTTAAACTTCCAGTTTAAAAGAATTCAAACCCTTAAAGTTCTTCCAGGATAAGGATTAACAAAGAGCAAGTGCCAATTTCCCAATGCCTTGACAAGCAAGCAACTCTAGTCATAATCAAGAAATATAAGGTGTGAACCTGTCAATTGCGATTGCCCATTTACTATCTATGAAGTCAGTTGCTGCAAGTAATGTAGCTGGCCAAGCCAAAGCAGTTAACAGTGTGCTTAATACAGTCATCATGGCCCCTTGCTTCATTAGCTCCATTGCAAGTCCTACAGAAGATGGCAAAAATACCGATATCATATTAACCTCTAGTTGTTGACTTATAGTACTACTAACCATATAGTATTATAAGTCAGATCAAATCCAATTACTTGAAGTAAGCCAATCCTGAATTGCAGTGCTCACAGCTATCAGATTTTTTGACTCCCATTGTAGTGCATACCTAGCTTTTATTCAAGGTCAAGTGAAAAGTCATTTGTTTTGCTGGGTTCATCCACCATAAAAGCATAAATTACATCATCAAATCAACACAAGATTAAGGAATATACAATGTAATATCATTGCACTGAGAATTTCAAGGGATAACTGCAAGAACACCAATCACTCCATGCTGAAATTAACTTCATTGATTTCTTTGCTTCTTGGCAAGTGAAAACAATAATGAAGGATCATGGATAAATATTCACAATTGTATCATGTGTTTAATTTCTTACTCATACTTATTGACCAAACATGGGGACGAATAGGGAGAAGGAAGTTAGTAACAATGAGTACCTCTCCAAGTTGTCATGTTGCCCTTCCCATGGTCTTATAAAATCATCCTCCTCAAAAACAAATCCTGAGACCAAGATCTCAACTGCTAGCCTCTAAAGTAGCAGTTCAAAAAAATTTTAATTTCAAGATCATAAGCCTAGTGTAGAAAAATTTCTTGAGAAAAAAAAAGTGAAATAAAATTAACACACATGCAAACAGATCATAAGACCAACCCATGATGCTCAATTAAGAATTATATGCTAGTAAGTGATGGAACATGAAAGCTATAAAAACTTACGCCCTGGTTATGGTTTTCTCCTATAGCTTTGAATTCAAATTCATCCACACTACCAACTCTCCTAGCCATTTTGCTCCCTGTAAGACCAGCTCCCGCAGCTGGTAGAAAGTGTTAAATAGAATTAAATACATGAATTGTCAACGATAGACTACAGGGAAGAAAGCTAGAGATGTCAAATGCACCATAAATATATTGAATGAAGGTCATGTCGGCTGCCTTTAGGATAAGGCAGATATTAATGGGTAAGCATCACTTCTATAGTAAATTTTAAAGTTTAATGCAAAATGACATAAACTTCGTAAAATCTCTTTTTCACAACTAAGATAAAAGAAAGAGTTTCTAATGTAGATTTCTGCCAATTATCTTCAAGTAGTAATTGTGAAAATGTTGATCAATTATATACAGCAACAAAGGAATCACCACTTTTGCAACTTATTTACTAATACAGAAAGTCAGTATAGTTAAGCAGCACAGTAGCCCAAAATCCACCTTCTTGAGTGTGCACTTGAACCCTATATTGAACAAAATACACCTCTAAGACACATGAGCATGTAAGAATTTCATAGTCCAGATCATATCATTCATTAACACAATAAACTCAAAGAAAGAGTTCTCATATGCCACCCCGAGACAAGATTCAAGAAGCCTTAGTAAATTCCTGCAGATCAAGGCACATGTAGCCAAATATATACCTCCAAATGAAGCAGCAACAGCAACAGAACCAGCTACAGTTCCTGCAGCACTAGCAGCTGCAGCAAACCCACTTCCAATTATAGGGACCAGGGTACCTAGAGTTGGAGCCAGTGCACTGAGCCCTGCAGCAATTGCAGGGGCAGCTAATCCTGTTGAATGCTTAAAGTAGATTAGTAACCAGTCAAATACACAAGAAAACTGATTCATTTGCAAACTAAGTATTTCAAATTACAGGTTGAAAAAGACATTAAGGGACACATACATACCACCAGTAATGGCCAACAAGGTTCCTCCAGTTATTGCAGCAGCGCCAATGATGCCACCACGCTTCCATTTAGCCCACTTGCTTTCTTTTGAATTTGTTTCTTCTTTCTTTAATTCTTGCTCTTTAACAAAGGCCATTGCAGAACAAGCAACCATGGTCTCAATGGCCTCCTGCAAAGCAAAACATTCATCTTCATCACTAAAAGATATGAAAGTAGAACCTGTGAATCTGGGAACATTAAAAAATGGCAATTTTAAGTCCTACATAGACAGTCAAACAAACACAGTTAGGCTTAACTTGGTCAGAAAAGTTTGGAAATCATGCATAAAATTGATTACACTGCAGTGAAAATAACATCCTGAAATAATTATTTATGATATTAGACAAAATAGGGAACAATTAGGCTTGTCTCTCATGATTACCTCAACTTATAACGAGTTGTTTCAAATCAACATAAAATTGCCAAATGAAAGTTTCAGAATACAAACCATTTTTGTCCACTTGATATCAAGCCAAGTTGCAAGCAGCCGCAGCGCCACGCGATGTCGAGCATCATAGCCTTTTCTTCTCTGGTGATATTTCTTGTTGTTTTCATCCAAATCTGACAGACAAGCAGAGAGAAGTTCATACAGAACTGATACTTTCCTCTGATAGCCAAGCATTGTTACCTCTTCAATAGGTCTTTCATCAATCATATTATTAGTAAATCCCTGATGTGGGTCAGGGCCATCAAGAAGAGGAGTATTTGTCTCCTGACGAATCTCCAAATGCATCTCTAGGTTTTCGGAATTTGATTGAACATGAGGAGTTAAATATTTTTCTCGACATTGATTCACATATTCACGGTGCTTTTCTTTAGACATAGAAGATGCTGCACTTTTTCCCATGCTGTTTTCCATATTGTCAATTGCTTCTGATAAAGCAAGTTCTCGATCTAATTTTGTAGAAGAATCATCATCACTTTCTTCAGAAAGTAATCTCATGAACTGTGACATTCACATACATTGTCTTTAAGCAGAAGCATAAAAAGGCCATTAAATAGAACTAAGCATATGTGACATAAAATGTAGAACAGATGATGATGATGGAGTTCAGCAGTTGTGCTATGCAGCACGAACTTTTTAGACAAAAGAAGAAAACTGAATACAATGTGGCAATTGTTGTAGAAGAGAGGGAGAGAACAACAGCAGTGACCCAATAACATCAGTCCATGATAACCCATAAACTTCGAACATGTCATGATTTTCATGTTTTCTAGTCTTTTACACACAAAAAAGCAAAAAACATTTCAACTAATGTATACTTATAATGTTTACTTATATTTAAATTTTGTTCACATAGGAATACAATTAAGGTCAAAAGACAATTGAACTTTTTTCTTATTTCTTCTTCTGATAAAATAATTCTTGATGCATGAAGGAATTAATCATGTCCATTTATACCATAAGATAGCCCAAAAATAAAAGGAGAAAATATGGAAGTGAAAGACACAGGAGCCAGATATGCCTGAGCTGACATTTCCACCTCCATTTTGGTTAGGTCATTCTGAGGCTTGCCAGAACAAATGGAAACAAAGATGAGAGTATATTAAATCATAGAGGTTACAAGCTTACAGTTACAGCTATTGACCTGTCCATGACTGAAAAAAGTATGCAGGGAAGTAGAAGAAAAGTTCGCCAGTGAAAAATTTTAATAGCAGCATAGAACCAATAGCGCCACGTTATTATAAAGCGTAAACCTAAATACTTCAGTATGTATAATTGTATGTGCAATTATTTAGGAGCGGAGAAAATGTAAAATGGCATACTGGTCCCACAGGATGGCCAGACCCAGCAGTTTCTTCAAGCGCGCGCCAAGCAGCAGAATCAATGTCCAGAATCCTGTTCAGAGGAAATATGACATACTGGTCCATGAATGAAAAAAGCTACAGGGGTATGTTTTAGATAGGTGAAAAGAGTACAAATTGGAGGGTCAAAGACTTGTTCCGATACTTGAAATAAAAAATGTATAGAATATGAGAGATGATATGAGAAAAGAAAAAGAAAAGAACAAAATTGTTCTTTCAAAATTTACTTATTCAACCGTGAGAGAACCAGACAACACAATACCAGTGATCCTTCGAAATATAACAACTCAACGAAGAGGATCCAATCTAAAATTAAAAGTAAACAACGAAAACAATCGCACATACTTGAAAACAGGACGGAGCAGACCCGAGTTCTCATGGACCCAAAGATCCGGACATTCGGAAACAGAATCGCTGCCGGAGCTACCGCTACTAGTTCGTTCTTCGGATTGATAGTCATCGGAGAAACCCAATGGGCAGGTCTGGTGAGTCTGAGCATGGTGTATGGCGAGGCTGAACAGGGCTCCAGCTGCATACTTCTGCGTCGGCGTCAGAAACAACATCGCTGCTGTTGACTAAATTCTAAGACCAGGGATGGAGATGGAATTGAAGGAGACGAATGAACATCATTCTGGGGTTATCCCAGCGTAAGGAAGGAGAGAGATCGCCGCTTTGAATTCGAATGGAATTGAAATTGAAGTTTGGATGTTTGCGGCGTTACGTAGGTTTAAAGATCGAATTGTGTTGTTTCCGTTGTCCGTTACTTGCAAAAGGCGTTGCGTTGGCGTTGGTTAGCTTCCGATACCATCCTATAACAAGCCTGACGCGCTGAAGCCACTGTTTCCCAGCTTGCAGAATGAGACTCGTTCGTGTGTGAGCAAAACTAAAACGGACTTGTTTTCGCTTCTTCGTATCTTCGAGCCGGCAGCACATGTTTACGTGTTGTCTTTCGAAGTTCACGATTCTTAAAACAACGTTTTGGGAAAATTGTTATAAAAAATCTCACCACCAAATTAATTGTTAAGAAAGAGTAGGGAACTTTTGAAAAATGAGGTCTTACGTTAGCATTAATTGTTTAAGACTAAATGATATAAATGCCCTTCTTGTTAAAAAAATAAAAAACAAAAAAAAGTGGAGCAAGATCATTCGCTATCAATATTTCATATTCGTTGTTATTTAAGCTAAATATGAAATGTCGCTTGTTAAAAAATTAAGTAAGTTATAAAGTCATATGGGCTAAATGACTAAAGAGTTAGGCCGAATCAAATTTGAATAGAGTCCAGCTTCAAGCTCAATGGAAAGCTATGGCCAAATGAACATGTCGAAATCCCACTAATTGCAAACCCACTCGGTGGACTGTTGGTAAATAAAGACATGATCTTAAATGATCCCAAATCTCACGGGAACAGCATCATTGTGCCCAAGTATCTCAACGAAACAGGTTGATTACCAAAAATGAAAAACAATGAGTAAAGACTATGCCATGAGTTTTGTTGAATCCCTGATTCTTTGGAAGAATATTTTAGGTTATAAGGGAGAGGCTGCCATCACTCTATCACTATAAATAAAGTACCGAAGCGTAGACAATAGTCAGCACTCAAAAGACTTGCATTTTGCACCCATAGTTCTTAGGTTTATCAATTAATTTTATCTTCAATTTAGACTTGTAATTGTTTTACATTTCAATAATAATCAAAATACTTGTTTATCAAGTCTTACATATCTTTTACATCTAGGTAAAGTGTGGTAAGGAAGCCCAGGGACCCTTTTATTATCAATTGAAACTTAGCATCTCCGGCGCGCTTGGTAACTTGTTGTTCCTCGACAAACAATTTTTAGCACGCCTGGTGAGACCTGTATAATAAAGATGGCAAGGACCAAAAAGGACAAAAGCACTGATGAAATAGGTGCTGGTTCTCCCGAACTAAAAGAGAATTCTACACTCGTAGGGTCAAAACAATTAATGCCTGAAGTTGAGATGACTGAACATCATGAGCACATAGTGCTAATATCAACAAGTAGCAGCAACACGAGCCCTAGGTCAAAGCCAAGAAGTGGACAAGCAAACTTGTTGATCATAGCCAACAAACCAGTAGCAGAAGTGCTATGAGAAATTCAAGACCGAATGGATAAACAATAGGAGGAAAACTAGAAGTTCTTTGCTATATCCCTAGAAATGTCCAAACGTAGGGAAAAGGAAAGGCAGCAACTCATGATGCAGGCTTTGCATAATGGAATGAGGAACTTAGCTGCATCCTTGAGAAAAACTCCTCTAGAAGCAAGCTCAAACATGAGGTCACATAGAGGACAACAGATAAGAGTTAATGCAAGTGCAGGCCCTTGGGGCCACACAGTTGTAAGGGACTATCCTAATCCCCATGTTTTTGCTAACATTAATCCTTTAAATAATCCTTTATATTATTTACAAGAGCCCAGCATGAGCGGCCTGGGGCATGGGAATAGTCTCAAAGCATCAAAACAAGCCTATGAACTAATTGGTGAACATGAAGGCCCTGAAGGATGCCATTTAAGACATATACGGCTTGGGACTAAGGCTGATTGGCCATCCCACTTTCTCAAAGCTATACCCAGAATACGTCGATAGAGATAACCCATACCCTTGGAGTTACAGGATCCCTGACATCCTATTCTTAAGAGATGGAACGTAGTCCATATTGGAGCACATTGGAAGATTCACGATCCAATGTGGAGAGATTGCCAACTACAATAACTTCACCAAATTAAAATTGAAATTGTTCTCTAATACTTTCACGGGCCCGACATTCACATGGTACACCTCATTGCCCAGCAATTCAATTCTTAGCTGGATAGAGATGGAGCAGAAGTTCCATATGCAATTTTATAAGACGAAGCCAGAGGTCAATATAGCTAAACTCTGTAAGCTTACCCAACAGTCTGAGGAGGCAGTGGACCAGTATTTGGTGAGGTTTAAAAGGTTGAGGAGCAGGTGCCATGTGTCGCTTCCAGAAGTTGAGTTTGTCAAGCTGACCTAAGTAGGCCTTGATATAGAGCTACAGAAGAAGTTCCAAGGGATGGAATTTTGGGACTTTTATGAGCTCACAACAAGGTTTATGGGTACGAGGAATTGCTGAAGGAGGAAGACTATTATCAACAAACTACAACAAGCATGTACTTTGGCAACCTTGACATAGCAGTGGCAGAGCTAAAAAATGCAGGCAACTACTCATGCCCAGCCTTGATAAGGAAGGCTGGGGAGACTCTAAAAAGGCTTAACACAATGCAATACACCTTCAACACTTCTAAAATAAAGGAAATCTTTGATTTCCTGCTTAAGAAAAATTTCATCTTACTACCCAATGACCACAAGATCCCTTTGAAAGAGGAATAAAGAAGAAAGGAGTACTGCAAATACCATTACTCTTAGAGTCACAACACTAAGTCTTGTTGGGGTTTTAAGAACATCATCCAAGACTAGATTAATAAAGGTATCCTCAAGTTCTTGAAAGAGGAGTCCATAGTCATGGATAAGGATCCATTTTTGCCATTTGTCACAGTAAACATGGTGGAGATAAAGTTCAATAGATGGCAAACCAGGAGAAATGATAGTAGATAAAGAGATAGGCAGCCCTGGAACATTTGGACCAGGGGAGATGTGGCGCAAGAAAGCATGAGAACAATATGGGACCGCCTAAAAGAACCTACTAGTTGGTTAGATAGGAACAGGCCCTCAAGATGGTACATTGGCTAGAGAGGTAAAATGTGAAAAGCTCAGATAGATCTAAGGTGGTTTGGGACTGCTTAGGAGAAATTACGAGCAGCTTAAAAGTTGACAACTAGTAGATGGTAAAGCAACAAAACAATTGGAGTAACGACACCCCGATTTGTATGCGATAAGGGAAGACTATAGTCTAAAAGTAAGATAAGATGCTTTTGGTTGGGTGATCCTATCATTGAAGGTGAGCTCGGACCATTATAAGGGTGCACTTGGTTCAAGAGTCTATAGTTTCAGTTAGGATGATATGAAGGCTTGAATGGTAGAATGATCATGCTAGTGGTAAATGATTTGTGTTGATGAAAAAGAGAATGTTATAATATGCAAAAGTATATTTTGGTGTTTTAATAGCTTTACTCCCTAATGATTATGCATGTTAATTAATAGTAGTGAATTATTCTGTTACTAAGATGTTTATCTCACCCGTGACTATATTTTATAGGTGAAAGCTCTGGTAAGGGCAAGGGGAAGGAAAGGGTGTTTAAAAAATGAAGAGCATAATTGTATAACTCTTTCCTTTCCTCTTTTTAGATATTATAATGAATATTGTCAATACATAATGCTAACTTAGGAACATGACATTATTTTAAGATATCACTTGTATAAATTTATAATAGGTGTGTGTATATTAGTCAAAGGTTGATTGTTATGTGTGCTTAGCCAAGTTACAATTGCAAGTGATATAATTGAAGTAATTTATGTGCTAAAATAACCAAGTTGAGATGTGTGTTAAATTTAATCCACCCCTTTGTATTATTGTCGAATGGGGTTTTGGTGGTCATGTTGAGCGTAAATGCTTATTTGTGTGATATGAATGAATTGTCATGTTGTGTGTAGTCCATTTAAGGTTGTCAAAGTGTCTCTGGAGCTAGTGGCATTTGGTATTATAAGTTGGACACCTTTGTATATGTTTTTAGGTGAAAATGAACCATTTAAGGCTCAGTTGTCCCTTTTTTTAAAGGATGATTGTTTAAGTATGAGATTAGTGCCATTAGTTAGAGGGCTCGAAGAGCTTTGTGTGAACACTTGAACCTCTCAAATCGGACATTAGATGGCAAAATGACGTGCTCCGGAAGTTTAAAAAGCTATCATGACAGCAATTTGTTGTCATGACAATAGGTGTGTGCCGTAGTATAAGTGGTCTTCGAGGGACTCAACCCTCTATGCCATCCACCGTGGCGAAGGGCTAGAATATGAAAAATTTCTAGATTTGCTTCAGCTTGTTTCAATTGCTATTTTGATTTCCATGCTTCCATTACCATATTTAATTAATTTTGAATTATGGTTTGAGCTCAAACAATATTTTAAAAAAAAGGTTTTTTTGAGATCCCATTATTTTAACTAATTATCTTTTAAACCCTTAGATTGTGATAACTTCTTCTTGGAATTTTATCTAATCCTAGTTATTACAATAGCATATAAGAGTATTGTACTGGTAATATCAAGGCGGACATTACACATTGGTCCAGAAGGACTGCTTATGAAGGGCCCAAATGGTTTTAAAGTGCTTTGAGACCATTTGGGAGAGCCGTTTGGCAAATTTGATTACTTTGTTAAGTACTCAACACTGTTAGGAGTAGGTGAACCTTTCATAGGGACACCTTTAAGTTAGGATGTAGGCCTTGACGAGCTACCATTCATAGCATCAAAGGACACTACAGAGCTTCGTTTGATACCAAAAGTCGTTAAGAGTTTAGGTAGGGTCGTTACTCCACCTGGTAACGTGCCGCCTTTGAAGTGGAGAGTTGTGAGGTCCCAACTGCCTTAACCAAAACTCAAAAATGACATCTTCAGTGAAATCAGGCTACATAAAGGTACCTCAAGCAACAAAAGGCTGAAGCATAGGAGACCTTTAATATACAAGAAACCAACAAGTTTAGGAGAAGATCCACAAAGAATCAAGATGAGGCAAGCAAGAACTAAAACTAGTGGAATGGGATCATTCACGTTGGGGAGATATCTGTTAATCTCTATATGTGATTTTATTAATGCTCCCTTCCCAATTCAGGTCTACCACCAATAGGACTTAGGATTGGTCAGAGAAAAATAACACAGGGGCAACGTACATAGGTCCATATTGATATTGCCCGATAGAACCTAGGGAGGATTAGGAACCTAAATCAGTGAAGACGCAAACGCAAGTGGGGAAGGCTAAAGCAGAACTTGT